TTTTAAATACACCGAACAACGCAGCCCTGCAGTATTGCAATCTACACGCGCTGGGATTGTACAACTTTTCTTAGATTAATATTTTTAATAGGATTATGATTTTACTTGCTATTTAATAGATTTCCAGATTTCCAGATCACTGTTAATATTGAATTATTAGCGTTCAAGAACAATAACACGACATTCGTATCCGTTACAGACGTGTAAATACGCTAACAACAACGTTTAAGCATACAAAAATAAACTATTTTATTGAGAAACATAATAAAACTGAGCTGAACATCAAATGCTAACACTCCTATTTCTATTGAATTAGGAGCACACGAATGCATTTGCAAAGAAGGTTACAAGTCGTCGATAAATTTAATTTTGCCTTGGAAAGCAAAAGTTAATGTTTCTCGAATTCTTGTTCGTTATATCAAAAGTTTACGTAGTGAAAAATGATAAAAATAATTTGCAAATAAAGTTTACCAATATTTTATTATAAATACACAAAAAAATGCAGTCCTGCAGTCTCTATACGCGCTGGGATTTTACAACTTTTTTTGGATTAATATTTATAATACGATTACGATTTCGCTCGTTGTTCGATAGATTTCCATACATTTTATCGTCTACGAAGTCGATTAATTTAATTTTGCCTTGGTAAACAACAATTCGCGCCACCCGTTTGTGTTCCTCGGATTCCGGTTCGTCGACGGTCCGCGTGTCGAGAAAGGACAAAAATTCCCGACGAGTTCTACCAACAGCAGAATTTCTAAACGAGAAATGTAAAAATTTAACGTCGCGATGAAAAATTCGCGACGCACCCGAGTTTATTCCCGCACCTTTCCCGAGGTCGAAGGCAAGAGCAAGCTGCCGTTCCAGGGATATTCAAGGATATTCCAGCCGTTTTACGGGGTGTACGAAGCGTATCCAATTTGATGGCATTACAATAACGGGGGTAATGTCTGAGAATAATGAAATTTCCCTCAATCACCGCGACCCGCTCGGAATACGTTCGTTCCTCCTTACCCGGGTTCCTACCTTTTTCCTCCCCCCTTTTCTCTCCCGCGTCCTTCCTATCCGTTAAACTACGAGCTTTCGACACAACCGTAGGACACGAAAAGTATACTGGCCTAAAGGAAATCCACGGAAGCGCGACGTTTTCGAATCGATTCCGTAGGCGTGTTATTTCGCTCTTTATCGGAACGCGGAAACGAAATACTCGCGATTTTATTCGACGTCGAATTCTGATTATTCCTCCAACAATTTTTCCACCGTCGTTGCGTCGATACCAAGTAGAAATTGTTAAGTGGATCGTCGTCGCTTTATTGGAATAAAATTCGTACGCTGTAAACGTTCGGTATGGCGACATAAACCATCTACAATGGGGATGAAAAACAAATGGTGGTTTTGTAGTTTCTTCGAGTCGGCAGGTTTCACACGATCAAGACGTATTTACTTTCACGGTTAAAATACGATTTTTGCTTGGATTGTAACAGAGCTTACTGAATTTTAACCCCTATGCTCGATGAAGTATGCTTTAAAAACTCTCTAAAAACAGTATTGACCACATTTTATTCCATCTTTCGAAACAGTAATAATTAGATATCCCATGAATTAAGCAAGGAGCTATTAAATGTAATTTTTCCCCGTGTAGTATCGAAGAAGATGACACATCAAATGGTCGAAACATAGTTCCACGTAATATTATTATTATTCATTTATTGACGGGAATAAAAACCCTTTAGTACAAAAGATGTAATGTGTGAGGAACAACAAATGTGAATTCTATATAATTCCTTTACAATCCGCCGTAAGGATAATTTGAGACAGAGTTTGCATGAGTATTCTAATATTGTTCTAACATTCAAGTAAAGTACACATCGTGTAAACTTATGAATAGTATATTTGATCTGATTTGCATAGCAATGGTTACCAAGGTCCTCCAAACACCAATTAATCGAATGCAATCGACGAAATAGCGACCGAAAAGAGCGATGGAATTACAGGAAATCGTGTTGGCAACTAAACTATCTTTCGGTGTTGCAAACACCGCGAAAGATAAATTGCTCCTATCGCGGTCCTCCTTTTTATTTCTCAATTTGGTCGATTTCTATGCTCTGCATCCCCCCCATCCTCCGTCTCTAACCCCTTCACGACCGACGTCGACGCAATAATTTTCGAGCGAACTGTACATAATGGAATATTACACGGGCCATTAAAGAAACGTTAATCTTACCCACAACAAGTTCAGAAGCGCTTACAGGATGCTCAAACGCGGCTGAGGATTATACTTTGTACACCGGCTTTGATCCTCCTTCGCCCTGGAGGCTCTCGCCCGACCCCGGGCGCGTTCGTGTAATTTGTTAAACCGTTAAATTCCGTGACTGTCTCGGTTCGTGTCGGAGTGGCGTGTTGTTACGCCCGGGGGCTACGTGTTTTAACGTCTCTAAGTATATCCTCGGGATTATAGGAAACCATATTGGAACCACTGCATAAGTCTTGTTACATAGTTTGTACAAACTTTCCATATTATCCAAACGCAAGATCTGTCTTCTATAGACGGAAGTATCGTTCGTAATACACTACACGTGATTTTTTAATGTTAATTCTCCCTGAAGGAAAATTCTCTTTGGAGTAGAATTTATTTTTTCCAGAATATTTTTAAACTGTTATTTGAGAATATACAATCCATATTTTAACAATTTTTTTTAAATTTTTTATACAACAGCGAGCAAAAAATAAATTATGAACTAAAAATTTGATATAATTTTCTGTATTCGATAAAACGAAATTGTAACTTTTATCTTATGTTTTTGTGTATCCCTAACCAATTTAAAGTCGTTTCTGAAAGGTTTCTCAGCGCCACAAAAAAATTTTATCAGAATTCAGAACGAATTCCAAATTTTAAAAAGGCTTGTATCTCACGATAACTGATTGACCGAAATTAAGAGCCCAATGGGTTAAGAAAGCGATTGTCAAGGTTGCAATTTTTAAGACTCGTGGGTTTGGTGGGAAAAGCAGAAGCCCCGAAACAATCTTTGGGATGGTCCTGTTATTCCTATCGGAGACAGTTAACTTCTGACAGTTTCCCTTCGCGACGATAAAAATGCTCTGGCCCCGGCGTCATCCCTTCCTTTCGGAATTTCTGCCGGAGCATCTGCAGGGAGGGTGGCGGTGTACGTACACCTCGAACCCATTACGAAGGCGCGATGGAAAGAAAGAAGAAGGGGGAAAAAAAAGAGGCAGAGAGTCGCAAAGGAGGGCGGAACAGAGGGACGCGGCAGAGGAAAAGAGAATTTAGCGACCCTCTTTCGCTTTTTACCCCGAGCAAGTCGAGAGCCCCTTAGCCACCGTTTATTGGACGCATGCAAATATCCATGGCAACGGGGGACCACCATGAGAAGCAGCCACGTCGTCGTGAACTCTGAACGTATTAGTGGGTGGAGTATAAGTCTTCGGGATCGGAGAAAAAAGGGGAGACGTCGAGGGAAAGGAAAAAAAAAAAAATTTTTCTTTTGATCCGTGCGTTATTCCTTCCGCCCTTGGCAATTTCTTAATTGATTCCTTTGTCCCGCAGGAATGTTACTTGCGACTTCGACGCTCAACGTTTCGCGATACAAGCGTTACCGTTTCCATCTGTCTGATTGCACGCCGTTCTCAAAGAATCGTTCGACGATGGAATTTTTATCGCGCCCCGCCCGCGACCAACGTCGTTAAATTTTCACGAGCGATCAACGAAAACAGATGTTTCTGTCTCGGGTCTTTGGGGGTTCAATGTAAAATTGCTTTCGAAATTTTGAACCGTTCCGAATTTTGTCTTCCAAGACTAGCAATTAAGATTCGTACGAGTGTCAAGAAATTTGTGAAATTCTTACTGTTGCAAAAGAGGGGTTGAACAAGTAAGCTGTACTTTCGCGCGACTGCAGCTCGGAGCAGGAATCGGCAACCGTGGAATTTACGTTGCCTGGCATGTACGGAGATTTCATCGGCTTGCATAAACACACCCCTTGTAACCACCTAGCAGAAAACTGATTTCCATCCCTGTATCGACTATCCGTGTAAACGCGTCTCTGTTTTGTATGCGCGGAGAAAGCCTCGTTGATAACACGCTTGCGCGCTTACGACCCCCCGCACGCCATAAGTCAAGCTCCATTACTCGTGTTTTGCGACATGCTTTATAAACTGTAGCCCGCGTCGCCATGAAAACCACCCGTTAAAACTAAATATCCCCTTTTTTTCTGTCGTTTCTTTCGATCCTCCAATCAGATTTCGATCGAAACTCAAGAACTATTTAGGATTTCAATTGTATAATAGTTCTGTTTGGATTCAGACTTTCCAATTTCTAATACGCACAATTTATCTATTTAAAATATGATTCTTATAATGTATCGGTTATATTAAATGATTCAAGCTTCGGTCGAAAATTCGTCATTAAAAGGGAAACATTTTTGTTTCTAAAAATTTATCATTAAGTTTGCTTTGCATCGAGTGTCCACTAATAATATATTCTGCACTCTCCTGTTATATTTTTACGATATAAGTACATTATATTATATTATATACTTCTTTCCTTATATTTTACTATTTTTAAGGCCTCGAAGAGGGTCAACATTGGAACCCGATAAATTAATTTTTGTCAAGCGTTGACTGCAACCAAAGAAATTTTGGTTCACTGAAAATCTGTTCATATCGCAGGATCGGTTAATATATTTTTTTTAATTAAATTTGACACCCACCACGAACGTCAAACACGAAATAAATGTACCTCGTCGGCGTTGAAAAGTTTCTACCATCGAAAATAGTAAATCTCTGGTAATTTTCAGAAAGAATGTTATCGCGAATCGTTTCAACGATCTGACCAGGAAGTTAAATGAATGGATAACTGTACGATCGCCACGGACCGCCGTGCAACGTAAAGATTTTAATGGCCCGTAGAGACTGCTCTGTCATTGAACGTATTAAATGTAGTGAATAAATGGTACTTTATAAGCGATGGAGGTTGTTGTACTTACACTAGGAATGTTGTCGTTCGTGCAGACACCCTCCTGAAGCAAACGATCTCTGATCTCCCATGCAAAAATAGAAGGACACTCACTTTTGTACAGGGAAATCTTGCTTACAACTTCCGCCGTGGCTACGCGTGGTTTGCTACCACCGATGGCTCTAGGCCTGATAGATCCGGTTTCATAGTACCTGCAACAATAATATTTTGCGGTAAAATGCGGTAGATTGAATACCAGACAGTTAGGGTAACTCAGCGAACCCGAATGATTCTTTCTTTGGATCGAAAACATTTTCTGAAAACTCGTTTCGAAAGAAAATATATGCGAAACACGAAGGGAAAATTTAATTTCGTTGTAAATAATTTACCCCACATTTTTCACTCACTTTTTCGTGTAGATTCACTCTTTTTAAATAAATTTAATATTTTACGTCTGCCCTAATTAACACCGTGACTGCCACTCCATACATAGAACTAAAGCAATTAATTCTGAAGTTGAAGTGTTCAAAGAAATAAATTTGAACAGGATGAATTTTAACAAAATTACGAAAACAAGTATTAGACAAACTTTAAGTTGAGTAGTTTGCAAATGTCTAAGATGAAAGTTTGTGTCTAGTTTGAAGTTAAAGTTAAGTTATAATAGAATGAATTTTAACAAAATTACGAAAACAAGTATTAGACAAATTTTTAATTTTGTAGTTTGCAAATGTCTAAGATGAAAGTTCTTTGTCTATTTTAGGGTTTTGGTCTGGCGGTCAACGCGTTAAAAAAAAGTTTTTTACGGTGAGTTCCAATCAGCAGAGATTTTATCGCGAGGGGTTGAAAGTCCGCAGAACGTAAGGTGCCAAAACAAGCAATATTTCAACCAACCTGCCGAGAATCTTGGACACGCAGCCATTGCTGACCTGCAGAATTCTAGATATGTCGCAAGGTCGTGCGCCGGAATGCGCCAGTTCGACAATCTTTTGCCTCGTCGAGTCTGGAAGCGGTCTACCGCCGACGAACACACCTCCGAGCTGGTTCACTCCGCTATGACCTGGAAACAGAACAAGGCAAATCAGCCCAAAAGTGTCGATCAGTCGTCGGAACTCGATTAAAACCTTCGTAGAAAGCGTCAGTTTAAAAAGACCCCGCGGCAATCAACGTCGAAGACATAATACAAAATGGATTCGAAGATAGGAGAAATCAATAGTTGCTAAACTTTAATAAAAATATGTTTGAGATTGCAAGGTGCCTTTCTAAAGAATCACAAGACCCCTACTTTGATTCTAACATAAGTATAATTGATCGTGAACCTCGAAGTGACTTCCAACCGATCGTTCGCGCTAAGTATATAAAAATTGGATATGTGAAACCATACTTTGACACTTGCTAAACTTTGACAACCACTCTATCGATAAAAAGAAATACTTGAATTATGTTTGAGATCACAAGGTGTCTCTCACTCTGGTTCTAATATAGGTATACTAGATCGTGGACCCCGAAGTAACATCCAACTGATCGTTCGGGCCAAGTATGTGAAAATTGTATAGGAGAAACCATAATTATGTTTGGAGAATTATGTTTGAAGCCCTAAGATGCTTCTCACTTTCGTTCTAATATAAGCATACAAGATCGTGGACCCCGGATCGACTCGATTTCCAACCGATCGTTCGCGCGAAGTATGTGAAAATTGAAGCGTGTCTCTCCGCCCCCCAAAGACGTTCCCTCTCGTGTCTCCGCGAATAATACGTTTGTCGCTATAAATCACGGATTTTTTTCATCCCTCCTTGGAAGGAGAAAGAGGAGAACGTCTGCTTTCTTTCTGTAGGTTTCGTCGTTACTCGGGGAGGAGGGTGGGGGGGTGGGGGTGAATGAGTGAGACGCTCCCGGGCAGGGGGTTGCCCGTCTGCGTTATAACGTTAGCAAACCCCGTCGTAGATAATCTTCGACTCATTGTGTCGGTGACAAGGCGGACGCGCGCGCGCCGGAGCCGAGGCATTCGACGCGTTCGAAAATCAGGACCCGGTGTCTTCGGAATCCTCGTCGATCTTTTATGTTTCTGCACCAGCCGGGAAGGAGACGGGGGGAGGGGGGACCTGGCGTTGCGGTGTCACTGTACTGCCACGCCTTAATTTTTCGGGGGTGGAAACTGCTGGATAGCGGCCGGCAGTCTCGAGGAACGAGGAAAGATACGAGGGATGTTATACGCATTCCACAGAGGGAATCTAGCAGCTCCAAAGAAGTTGGAGAAGAAGAAAATTCAACGATGGATTTTTTCCTACGTCGATATTGAAAATATGCTTCTAACAGCGCTCGTTGAAGTATAAGTGCAGGTGGATTTATTTAATATCAACCCCCTAGACGGATGTATTGAATCATTTCAAACTGAACATTTTTCACTAAAATAAATATTAAACATCGACGATTGTACAGTACAACGATAATGATAATACAAGAAGACTTAAAAGAAGCAAATGATTTAATAACTGACCAATAACATCCACAAGGAAATCAATGGAGGGAGAAAGGAGACATTTATCAAAATTACTGGAAGGCTCCCTCTAAGTTGTATTATAGTTAGAAATAAAAAAAAAATTCACAACTCGTGTTTATTAATATTTGTAAACGAATTTAATAAGTAACGATGGCTCGAAGGTAAGTGGTTCGAAAAATACTGAATCAAGTATTTGAAAATATTCGAAAATATCTTTTGCTTACGGGGATGGTTCGAAGGGAAGATCGATGATCGAAACGATACCTGAGAGGCGATTTTTTGCAAGGAGGGGCACTTCGCGAACAACGGCCGACAAAAATATCCGGACAGGGCTAATTCGACTCGTCGGCTGGTAATAAACGGGGAATTATAAGGGAGATTTACGAGCGTGTGCGATCAACGAAAAGGGGGGGAGGATGTTTTTCACGGTCGATTGACTTTCGAAAATGGGCCCAGCGTTCGAATCGCGAACGATTTCTCGCGTGCCAGTAGGTACCCGAGCTACGAGTGCTTCTTCTATTCAACAAACGTTTCTCCACGGACGTCCACTGGGTGTGTACTAACCAGGAATCGTGAAACATATGTATCAGGCTACAAATTGCAACATAAAAACTACCGAAGAATGTTTTATTTCAAAAATAGTTGTCGCCTTTTTAAACGACATTGTCCATTTTTTACTTTATATTATTGTACTGTACCGATTCAAAATGTGAAAACTCGATTAACGACGCTCGAGATCCAGAAGATTTCCAGAAGAAACGAAATTAAATAGTACACGTTTGAAAAATTGTTTGGAATTAAATCGTACGTAAAAGGGTTAAGAATAAATTTTTCTAGTTACAAAGTGAAATGTGTTAATCCAGCATTCGTAGTATTTCTTATTACAGAAATTAGTAGTATCTTTTCCCAGTGGATGTTCGAGTTCCGGTTCCAGTAAACGTTTACAGTACTTTCGAAACTAGTTCGACGCAGAACTTCGAAAGCATGTCTTTGAACCTGGAAGTATTCGAGATATTTAGTGAATGTTAACCTCCGTTGACTTGAAATTAAACATTTTAGGTGGATAAATGTTTCACCGAAACGCTGAAAGCTTCTCTGTTTTCTGAAATAATTTGATTCGTCCAGAGAAACGAAAATCTCGAATAAAATTGAACAGATCCGCACCTACGGGTGATCGATAAACGTTTGATTGCATCAAAGAAAATTTCCAAATATTAATCCCTTATCACGAAACTTCCAAGAACGCAAATATCAAGAAGAAATAGGGGGATGGGAGAGTTAATGAAATCCTAATAAACGAGAGGCTTAGGACTCTCGGCACCCTTCTCACTGATATTTCATACAAACGTTACAATATCAAAACATGTTCTTTAGCAAAATGCCCACTCGAGCGCGCCCCTTCATCGCGTAGTATTAACGCGTGCTGCAGGGTTACACTTTCGACGCCTTAAATGCGTAGCTACACTCACACCACGTCCCATAATTCTCTTATGCTCACAATGGTCACGCAACAGGAGCAGAAAATAGCTCTCTAGAAATGCACCATGTTTGCTAGAGTTATTATCGCTCGTTAAGAACTGGCATTCGAAGTTCGCCGTTCGTTTCTTCTCCCCTTCCTGTTCGAGTGACACTTGGACCCTCCGGTTACTTTCTCATTTGTTTCTTTGTTGTTACGCGTTGCCCTTTCCCTGTCGATGTCAAACACCGAATGGCGATTGCACGAACCGATACTCGCGATTGAAAAGCGCGACGAGTAAAAGCTGTCGATTTCAGAACGACATTACCAAGATTTTTAGTGGTTCCAATATGTAATTTGTTTTCTGTGGATTTTCTCAGTATTCTATTTATTTTAAATTTCAGAAAACGTGTATGTGATTTTCATGCGACAGTATGATAAGTAGCAAGCTTCGTACAATCTTGTTTGATCGATAATTGATCACCATTTTGTTTTTATTTGCATAGCGAGTAGATACCAGGGTAACTACAATGCAGGAATTCGCGGAGCAAAAATCAACGATAATAGCCGCTTTCGCGCTGGCTGACGTTAATTTCTTTGATCCACGGGCGAAAGATAAATGGTTAGATAAATAAAGTATGCGAAAACGTTCCTCTTCCTGTCGATAGAGCCCGGTGGTTCCGGCACCGAAAGTGACGCTGCCTATGCCGAGGTAAAAAAGGGAAGCTCGTTTACAAACGAGAAACAGAGCCTCGCTGACGCGACAGCTGAGACGGCACATTCATCATCCGGCCGACTTCTTGTTCCTCCTTTTCTTCAGCTTCTTCTTCATCGTGACTTTTTTGCTATTTTTATTCCTCTCCTTCTAGGTGGTCTTCCTGTTAACGATGTAATATAATCAATTACAAGGAACGATATGACCGTAAGAATACCTGCGTTCCCCCTTCGTGACACTTTCGACGTGCTTATACCTCTAAACGAAAACGTTCAGAGTCATTTCGTGTATTCGTTTCCCATTGTTTATATTAATTTTAATTTTTAAATTGATTATGTTCTAGTAGAAGGTACACTTGGGGTCAGGTTGTTGTACGAAACCTTTTTTTTTTAATTAAATTGACTAATCTGTTTATGAATTATAAAGTCGTTGTAAAAGATGTTAAAATTGATTCGAATTAAAATCCATTATTAATCGAAGCTTGAAAATAAGAGAAGTAGAAAGGACCAAGGTTCGATTGTACTCTTGTGTTAGGTACTTGTTTCAAGTTGTTGTACGAAACATTCTTTAAATTAAGTTGACTAATCTGTTTATGAATTATAAAGTGCTAGTAAAAGATGTTAAAATTGATTCAAACTAAAACCCATTATTAATTGAAGCTTGAAAATAAAAAATGTAGGTAGGACCAAGGTTCGATTGAGCCCTTATGTTACGTATGTACTTGCCTCTGGCTGTTGTACGAAATATTTTTCAAATTAAATTACCTGATCTGTTTATGAATCGTAAAGTGGTATGTTAAAATTGACTCAAATTGAAAACTCTTAGTAATTGAAGCTTGAAAATAAAAAAAGTGAATAGAGTCAAGTTTCGATTGCATCTCACGAGTGCACGATTGAACGATGTTTCACGATCGACGCTTCGAAAATATTTCCAAACGTTCGAAATTGTGGAAAACGATCATCGACCGAAAACAGGATTCCGTGAACTTGGAGGCTGCGTTGGATCGGGGAAGCTGCGATATTGTGCCCATTATCCCGGGTCATTTTGCGTCATTCTGCCGTGTATTGTTCGGTACGCGAACTTCTCTCGGTAGTTCGGGAACAAGCGTGGAAACAGCCCGGCGGAGTTGCTACAATGCATTCTAAAGTGAGACGACAAACGGTTACAGACGATTAAGGTCGGCTCGTCTTGGTAGCGAAGCTTGTTGGTATCTCAATCGGCTCTGCGCAGAAGTGTTTCCGGAGAATGAATGAACAAGACACCCCTGGAACCATTTCAAGCTCCTCAACTTCGAAGAGGGAGGAGTCAAGGGATGCCCACTTGGCCTCGAGTACCTCGCGGTGAACGTTTCTGCACCACCGAGGATAATCGCTCGAGAGGATAAAGAGGACAACCGGCCGATCTATCTAGTTTACTTTGCGGCCATTTTAAATGCACCTCAAATATTGACCTTGAACCATTTTAGCTGATCGCGACCTTCAAAGGCTAATTTAAATAGTTCCCTTCGCGAAAACGCCATCACCACCGCGCCACGTTGCCCCAAACTAATTGGAAAATCAATTTGTTGCTTTGTAAAGTAGCTGTTGGATGCTTCAGAAGTCTCCAACTAATTGGCATTTATTTTGAAAGCTAAATTTAAATATTTCCCTCCACGAAAACGCCATCACCATTGTATCACGTTGCCCCAGATTAATTGGAAAATCATGTAGTTGTTGAATGCTTCAGAAGTCTCCAACTATTTATGTAATCAAATATAGACGACGTGATCTGGGTATTTAAAAGTAACTAGAAGAAGCATTGGATGATTGATGACAATTGAACAAAGTTTCTAACTTTATACTAAAATTATATCTCTTGTATTCCAAGTTTGAACAACTATATTGCATCTCATTATTTAGAATGTTGTCAAATGCTGAAGAAGAGTTGAATTACAAAGAAGATCAAACCACATTCTCTTCCCTCCTAGTTACAACCTCACACATATTTCTTACGTACATCAAGTAAATTGAATTTAACGAAGTTCGTGTTATTATTAGTACTCTAAATAGAGATGAACAAGTTGGAAGAACCTTGTACCTGCACGATAGACTAATTTATCTCTTTAAACGCCAGCGTTGAGCATTTGGCTACTAGAAGACATTTTCATACAGGTGACACATCGTCTATCCGGCGAGATCGTTCGACGAAAAGAGAGTCTGTTTCTTCTCAGACGCTCTTGTATCTCGCCACGAGGCATCGGGACACCGAGACGAGGGTCAGTGGTATAGAAAACTGACCGGCAGGTAAGGCTGGAAACGAAAAACGGCGGAAAAGCTCGGGAAAAGAGGGAGCAGAGCAACGAGCATGAATAACGACAGCTACGATCGTCATAATAGCATTATTGTTGCGGACATGTTTTCAAAATGAGGATTCCTCCCCTCCCCGACCCCGAGAACATCGACTGTCCTTGCAAACTGAACACAATGAGGACTCGAGTATTTGTTGTGTTGCTGTTTGTAGCCAATCCACCGCGCGTCGGCTCCTCTTCAACCCCCGTGTCTCGTTCCCCTCTTTCTCATCTTTCTTCCTCCAGACGACTCGACCTTTTCCCGAAAACGTGCTCCCGACAGTTATTAGCGTTATTAATGGCCGTCCATTGACAACTCGATTCATCTCCGATCGCCTGTTTGCACCGAAGGGGGGAGGAACAGATCGACTGTTTGGCAGATGTACCGACCACGGGGGGACCTACGATGTTTTTCAAAAGCGACATCGTGAATTTAAGTGTCCCAGCCATTTTACAAACTACAAATGAGACGTGCCGAAAGGTGACTGCTTGGTCAATGACACTCAAAACGATACGTGTCGACGGTACTGCTCACTTTCCTCCTTCGATTCGGCCACTTGGCCCTGAGATTACCCCCCAGCCATTTTTCAACACGACTGTTGGGGCCATTTTAGATTTTTCTACGCAATTAAATTCTACTAGATTTTAATCGGATGAATTAGTAATATTTATGATGTAAGCAAAGCATTGTTTGTAACAAATACTAGGTACAGAAGTATAGAAAGAATTTAATTTGTGATATTGTAGTAGTGTTTTCTGCTAATGTAATTCATTAAGTAATACATTTTAATAATTACAATTACTGTTTTTGGAACAGAATACACCTTATTGATTTTAATGACCATTCGTGTTATCAAGATCAACATACTGTGGAACTTCTGTACAAGGTGTTTCAGATAAATATTTAAGGAGTTGAATTTTTATTTTATTAAATAACCTAGCAAGATATAATTTGTTTTGCAAAATTCTGTTCTTTCTATACGTAAGATAATAATCTGTGAATAAAAATATAAGTTTCCATTTAAAAAAACAATAAATAAAATAGTCGTGTTCCCCCCTTGAAAACGAAGTAACTTTCGTATTTAACATTTTAAAGATCTGAATGTCACTATTATTAACACTTTGTAATAATATACTCGATTTAAGTTTCTTTTATGACGAACACAAATTGAATTTAGGAAATCTATGAATAAAATTTAGATTACAGGTAGACACTTTTGTGGGGGAAAAAATATATTTTTCTACTTTTAGAAGTCACAAAATTGCATTTGTTATTGCCAATGGTTCCTATCGATAGAGACCCTTGCAAAGAGTTAAATGTTAAAAGGTTGAAAAGCGTGGATCTCTGCAAGTGTCCGATACGATGAGCAATCGAGACGGCCGTAGTATGTAAATGAGGAAAATTGAATCAGCTGTCACTTTTGGACGCGATTTTTCGGTTAATCGCGTTCCCTTTGGCCCGGGACGCGGGCAATCGTGGTTTCCTGAAAGCTGTTCATACGCTCTTCCGGGTCGAATTATCCAATTACCTGGAGGCTAACCTGTGCCCCTGGGCTGGAAGGTCGTGGAATGGATCAGGATCGGCGACAGCAACGTCGGTAGCGGCAGCAACAGCGGCGGTAGTACGAGGCGGCCGTGGCCCAAAGCGGACCGGACAAAGGGCTCGTAAACGCGTTATTCCACGCCAACGGATCTGTCAGAGCCGCTTCTCCGGGTGCACTACGTGGAAAAGGTCCGTCCACAATCTTCACGGCGTACCCACACGTATTTCCACTCGGCCAGGACTGGCTTCACTAGCCATCTCCGCTTACCTTCGTTGTCTTGACATCAACGAGAATCGAACAACCGCTGATAACTTTTCGGATAAAAAGGTCCGGACAGCCGGCCTCTCTGCAATCTACTTTCGAACCTCGACGACGGGGGATCGTAACACGGAAGCGTGTAAATAAACTGGCCGCGGGATTAGAGAATTGGATTATGACGATCGGAGAAGAACGGCATTGTTGGATCTAATCGCACGATCTTCGCGGATGAGATCAGCTTTCTATTATCGAACCCCTTCGTCCCTCGAATTGCTCGCCGTTTCGATGAGAATCGCGCGCAGGGTGTCTATTTTAATATTTCCTTTTAAACAAGAGAAGAAAAAAATTCTATGCAACGAAACAAAGCCGAGGAAAAAATGGTACTCGAGGACAGAGTAAATCGAGAAATTTTCTAGACTTACGGGGTTGGTCAAAAATCGTGCACGGGGTGCCTATTTCAATGTTTCTTCTTAAATAAGAAAAGAGAAAAAATTCTATACGATAAAACAAAACTAAGGCAAAAATGGTATTCGTGGAAAGAGTAAATCGAGAAATTTTGTGGACTTACGGGGTTGGTCAAAAATCGTGCACAGGGTGCCTATTTCAATGTTTCTTCTTAAATAAGAATAGAAAAAAATTCTATACGACAAAACAAAACTAAGGCAAAAATGGTACTCGTAAATCGAGTTGGAAACTTGTGATTTACACAGCAATTTGTACGTTTCGAATCTCACGAAGAGTAATGTGGAAATTCCTGAAAGACTTCACTCGTGACTAGGAATCAGGGACGAACGCCCCGTGAAAATGGGAGAGAAAGGATCGAAATGGTACAATGGAAAATGACATGTGTTCCGGGGTGCGATATCCACGCGAATCCAGTGTCTACGCATGATTCCACGAAGAAAGAGGAAAGCTTAATCGCGATCGACGTTTACGGGGGACGTTTTTCCCGATGCGCGGAAACCACGCGGCTCTCCCCTCCCCTTTTCTCTCGTTTTCGTCGGTTATTGGCGAAAAACGCGACGAAGGGCCCCGGGACAGAAACGCCGAAATAAGGGTCCAACTGCGCCACCAGGAAATAAAAAGCCGTGAAAGGGGCTCCTTTAACAGAGGCGTACAAGCACAGTCGTACAAGGTGCACAATGACATCGACTGGCTTGGCATTGTGGTTCCGCCCTGCTTGTTCCCATGGGATTCCTGTCCGCGAGGGTTCTGACATAATTAGTCTACGTATCGGAATGATCAGCTGTGGGAATAACACACGGTGGAACTGTCGATCTACATCTACTTTCAGAAACTCGACCAACGACAATATTGGATCCGCGATCGACCATCTTTGTACTTAATAAGTCCTGAAGGAGGCTTGCAATGTTGGAAGAGTCGTCGTTTAAAATTAATTTCGAGGTTTTATTCAGGTGGCAGTCAATAACATACTCCGTTTTATCGACAAAAATTTTGTCTTGTTACTCCTGACAATTTAATTTGTAAAATACATTTTTGATATTCGGCTCTAGTTACTGGTAAAAAAACGTTTTCAGACCAAAATTTTGATTTTAGACAATCGTGAACTATGTGAATTGAGATTCGTCTTGGTATTTATTTTCAGTAACTTCGATAGAATCTATTTAAATTCATCGTGTCTTACATATTAAAATCAACAGATTTTTACATTCACGAGGACCTCGTAAAACAAATCTATCCTTTTTGGAGCTACTCCATTCCTCGTCAGGATCAACGAGAACAAATAACGAGGCGAGAAACATATTTTCTGCATCGAATTTCCAAGTCCAACGATGCGTCTTCGATGTGTTCTCGTAATGACACGATCGATGTAAAACGACGACTGTTTTTTTTTTCTCGTTATGAAGTTAACGTTTGCTCGTTTAACGACAAGATCCGGGAGGATGCAACAGGGAATCGCTAAAATCGTTAAAAAAAGTCTCGTTCGAAACGTTTTCTCCGCCGAAGGAGCACTTTATACTCGTTTGCCAGTTCCAGTTGAAGCGCGCCACCGCCGCTTCGTTCTCCGCGAAAACAAAACCCTGAAGTGCAATTTCTGTTCCTCGCTCGTTTGCCCGAGAAAAATGGTCCGGTCGCGTACAGAACCAACGGGTGAAAATGTGCGTGAGGATCGTTAGTAAACACGAGTTAACAGCGCGATAATGACGTCGTTCGGCGTGCCCGGAGTAGGATTTTCATCCCGATTTTTTGAAAGGTTCATTTGTGCAGGGTATATATACCCACTCCTGGCCTCCTCCTTCCCCCGTCCACCTTTTTAATTCTCCTCCCTCCCTGGCAAGCCCTTCTCTGTTCACCGTTTCTCGTTCCTCGTACTTGGACGTCGTTGCGCGCTAGGTAAAAACATTCTTTCTGAAAAGGACCCTCGAGTGGTCCTCCTCCGCTTCGCGTTCTAAAAGTTCAGGACTATTCCCGGCTGCACAATAATAACGATTCCACCCGCGCACCTGTCCGTGCAGGCTGCACGGACCCAGCGCGACTGACCCACTTTTCGCGTTCTTATAACGAAACCGAGCAAAGTTGCACGCTGACCAGAGAGCCACGTGCTTACAAGGGCCTGACAGTTTGTTGCCCCGAAAGGATTAGGATTTGGGGATGTTGTTCACGGTTCGAAAAGTGGTTAGGAATTCGTACGACTCTTTTCTGGATCTCCAACCACCTGCGATCTTCGCTCTGAGAAGGTACAAACAAGTCGTTGTGTCACCCATAGGGGAGTTGAAAGTAGCATAGGTGTTCTTATAATTCTTTTATATACCAGGAAATGCAATTATGGGAATATACATAAATCCTACTGTGTATTCAATGTGGAATAGAATGTATTTTATGACTTAAATTGTCAGAAGTAACGAGGCAAAACTTTTGTCGATGAAACTCTGAGCAAATACAAACTGCATTCAATCTTTGCTTGATTTGGTTGTTTATGTTTCTGAGAGTAAACACATCTTCGTTGTTTTATTCTAACACTTTGTTGCAACTCAGTTTCGATCCTGATATAGTCTGTATTTTATGTTCTTCCTTAAACAACATAGAATCGTCTGTTTCCAGCCATAGTCTTTTTTCTTTAGTTTTAAGTTATCCTCAAGTTCCTGTTTATAGAGAAATTCGTAGCTACAAATGAACGTCAGCTTTAGTCTATATTTTAATATATTTTCCTGCCAGCAGTAACAAGTAAATCCCACTTGTGTCGATGAAAATAAAATGATATATTGTGCAGTACAATTTCAACATTTCTGAATCGAAAATTCTAGGTTGAGATCGTTCAAAAATAAGGTTTTAGTTTCTTCGACGCGTATCGATGGCGAGGATACCCATGTTTCTTGATTCAAAAACTACACGGATCTACGATCGAAACACAAATCCGACATCCACGGGACAAGTACAATGAGAATACGATGTAATCTCCGGAAATGTTTAGGGGAAAATTAGGCCGACAGTTGTCGACGCACCCGTGGGTACCTAAACCATTCTCCCCACTGACGCGGTTTGTCAAAATATTTATTCAGTACGACCACCATTTTTTGCTCCGGATCTCGATTCCATTTGGTCCGTCGCAAAGTTCTATCGATTTTTATACTCGAACTTCGACCGTTGTTGCCCATCTACTGTGTTTCTACGTCGATTAAAATTTATCCAAGATGGATGATGGCGATTTCTAATCAAACACACGTATCGAAACCTTTGGAAAAACTAGGTAATTTCAATTAGGAAATGGGCAATAATTTTGCTTGCGTATTTATAAATTCGTGTAAAAATTAAGATTTTAAAAGTCACAGCCTCGAACGTAATTTTTTGATGAACCAAATGGCTAAAAATTATTCTTATATTTTAGTTGAGGACATTTTTTAACCGGTGAACAAATCTATGGCAGTTTTGTAACTCTAGTTTCCAGTCTAAAGGGATGTTTAACCCTTAAGTGGATTATTGGAGCCCATAAGTTTAAATTAATATTGTATAGTATATGTCAATGTAATTATTTGAAAATTTATGTAATCCTCCATCAGTTCATTATTTTTTAAATGCTTCAAAGGAAAGTTGATTTCCATTTATCAATTTGGTAAAAATCAACATTAAGTAAAATAATTCAATCGAGATTTAAAGTCCACTTATTGAATAGTTTCTAAAATAGCACGTTTAATTTTCATTTCGGGATCATTTTCTACCAACGGTGGAGCCTATTTCGCTTCTCTGTAATTTCCTCCATATTTGAAATTTCGTTATAATATTTATCATGCATATTCCAGGGCACGTCCAACAGGATTTTCGGGCATGTGCATGGTTCGCCACAGCAGAAACATTGTCCAGATTTGGTGCTGGGCACGCGACGGTACAGAAAAAAACGACGAAGCAATATATGCATTTTTGTTTTAATATGTTTCGTCGTGAATCGGTTCTTTGTAATTATTATTTGCAATTTAATAGAATTTGAGACAGGGTTGCCACGTGTATACAATGATATTGCCATAAGCAAACAAAAGTAATAGTTTTAGATTAGAAAAATATAAACTGATATTTGTTTCGATCCACTGTATGGATTTTTATACATTTTTAGTAATCTGCATAACATAGTTATAATCATTCATTGAGGAATTCTCAGGGATGAATTTACAGAGGTTAATTGCAAGATTTGGCATTACCCTTTCAGGTAATATATTCAGGGGAAATATATTCAGGGGTGTCGTATTTAATAGTGAATAAAAATAGTAATGAGAACAGTAATATTGTATTATGTCTAATTTTCTTTTTTCTCACCAATTTCCCAAAGAATCCTCTACAGATTAATTGCAAGATTTGGTACTACCCATCCATGTGGAAAAATATTTTCAAAAGTGTATTTAATAATAAATAAAAATTGTAATGAGAACAGTAACTTTGTATTATATCTGATTCTTTTTCCTCCCACCAATTTTCCAAAGAATCCTCTACAGATTAATTGCAAAATTTTGGTACTACCCATCCATGTGAAAAAATATTTTCAGAGGTG